TATTCATAGCTATGTTTTCATTTGTGTATAATCCCCTGAAAATAAGAATGGATGTGTTTTTGTAACCTTAGAATGAGACGTTTTTATGTACTGACTCCGCGGGTCACCTCCCATGGCAGCTGCTGAACCTCCATGTTTCTACAGTAGCCCAGAACCGACTAAACACGGACTCTAGATAGGGCCGTTCACGCTTTTTGCACACTTTGTTGCCACCATCCCTTGTTCTTGGAAAGTGAGGATAGGATATTTTTATTTGTGTAGCTAAACTCCTGGTGTGCAACTTAATTACATTACAGAAATACTGCACATTAGTATCTCATTTATTCTTTAAAAGTTGTGCAGAAATACTATGTCTAGGTGTATTACAAGTCATCTTCTAATACTGTGCAGCCCCACTACCAACATGTATAAATAATCAGTTGTAATCTAGGCTATATGGCAGACTTACAAGTAGTCTATAGTTCCAACCTTATCTTTATTTGAATTAGATGTGCGTGGTGACCCTGGGGTGACCCTCAGCTGCAATATCACAAAATGAGTGTTATCACAAACAGCTGAGGCTGCCATTAAACCTGATAGACGACGGGGTCCTGATAAGCCATCATCTTGCGGAAAGAGAATGTGGTTGATGGAGAGTCACTTCTCTGCAGGGTTGTTATTATATGGAGAAATGGGGAGTACAGCACCAGGCAGACTAGGCAATCTATCAGAGGGAGAGCCAGGGAGGTGCCAGCCACCAGTGGTGCTTTCCAACTAGGCAGCAGCAGCAGTGGGGATTAATGTGTAGTCCTCTCTGATGAAAGGTGAGCTATTCCTCTTATATACCCAAGACACCTGGTTAGCTTTTGCTCTTTTAGAGCATCCCAGTAGATGGACATGCTAAGGCAACATATTTGTACCATAATAGCTTTGAAGCTCATTTAAGATACACTTTCATATTGATATTGAATGAAATGATTTCCTGTATGTGAATACCGATGGATTTAGGAGGAGGTGAGGAGGGGGATTTTATTCTCTTCTGTATAAATGAGGAATGAGGTAACATGACAGAGACAGAAAAGAGGAACACTTACAGACTATGCCTGGTGTAGCAATTCCCATAATGTCACAGCCTTTGGGGAAGAGGAGGTTCAGTTCTTCAACTGTATCCGGACTGTGGCGACTCTTTTTTGCTTCAGGATAGTTGAGGGAAAAAACATGTTAATGAGTAAGGTCACTGTTTGATATGCTTATCATTTTAATAATACATGAATACATGCTATAAATTAAAATGTCCTTAGTAGTAGCTAGATCAGCAGCATCTATATGAAACAAATACAAAATTCTCTGTCCCTTCTAGTCAATAGTTCAGCGTACAAGGTGCACTTATGATTATGTGACTGTTCACCATGACTATACACTCTAAATGACAACTTCAACACATCTTGCCTGGTTCTTAAGTAAAGTAAGTAAAGGTTTTGGTGTAAGTGCCATAACACTCTCTAGTGGGTTATTTGTGGAACAATTGCAGATGTTCAGTCATAATAATGGCAGAATTATTTAATGTGTCAATAACACAACAACATATGTTATTCAAACTGCAGTGACAAAGAGGAACAATGGTCACATATTGAAACTAACCAGCAGGAGACAGACAGCGTGACCTAACACTTCCTGCTAAGTGGCCTTCATTATAATATGACCCAACTCTGCAGCAGTGTTCATTAATTTAATGTTTAGTAATTAAGGTCACTGCAAAAAAATACTGTTCAATGATTACTTTGTCATGCCCCTACAGATGCAATAGTTTAGTAAGTAATCTGACCCATGTTAGTGGCTTCCAGTAAATGATGTAGTACTAATGAGCATAGGTCCTACTCATGTTGTATTTCGGTAATATCTTGTTTGACAAAAAACCAGAAGGTGGAGTCTAAAGCACAGTGTGACACCAAAGCTCTAGTTTACTTGCAAAAAAAGACCAGAGGACAAACATACAGTTTCCCAAACACATCCTGAAACACTAATTATTTTACTTAATTTATGTTAAAATAAAATGTTGACATTTGAATATATGTATGATTTTAGATGTAATGTGTTCTTTCTTATATTTTATACCTACTAATACTTAATTCTGATAATGCTGTGATACAACTAATAAATCCGAATATGATGGACAGGAAGTCAGAGGCACTGATGCATATTATTCTGACAAAAGGAAGGATTGTTACACCACTTACCTCATATAGGTTATATGTCTGTCCACAGAGACAACTCAAGCAAACGTGCACTTATTGGAAACATTCTGTCTAGTGAGCACAAAATAATAGTCCAACAGCACTGTGTACTAATATTTAACACCAACCTTTACTCTGTCTGTAGCAATACGCTTGTCCGTTGAAGGCTTCGCAGTCTACCATTGCCAGAACCGTTTTGGGCAGGAGAAACACTTTCTAAAAATAATCAGAAGCAGAATGCATGTGTTAAAACAATATTTAAACATTAGTTTATGTGCTTCTGGACACAAAACACAGTACAGCAATATATCACATCTTTTAAGAAATGTTTACTTCAAAATAAACGAGATATTTATTTAGTGTAGGCTTTGACCCCAGGGCTACAAGAGGAATCACTTCTTGCTGAGGATGTATGGTAAGCAAATATCTCAAACTTGGGCCATTTTATTTACTATTATCCATATAAACCAAGTACCGATGCTCTTCGACACAAATAAACAAATCAACGGGCCCAACAACAGCTTCCCGTTGTTGTTCAGTCGATGTGGGTGCAATCATTTACCTCCACCTCCTCAGCCAGGATGCTGCAGAGGGCATGGACCTCCGTGTTAGACGGTCCACAGGCTGACACCCAGGTGAGCTGCTGCTGGGTCCTCAGCACCCTGCGGGCACAGTTTCTCCACAGCCTGCACACACTGAACACACGAACGAACACACACACACACACACACACACACACACACACACACACACAAAGTCTCTGATAAGGACAA